GACAGAAAGGATTAAAAAATCTCCGCCACCATATACCACCAAAAACACCTGTTCGATCCTGGAGTCCATCACTGGAAGAAATTATATTTCAACAACGAGCTGTGAAAAAAAAACACACTGAAAACCAATGGACAGATCTGTTGAGAATCATATCTGAGTTAAGAAATCGTAAAGTGAACGAAAAGGAATTGATCAAATTTTTTTTTCCATGTTTCGGTCCAATTTTAAGTGAAGTCACCTGGATATGGGAGACCTGATGTTTAAGCCACCGCAAGTTTATGTTTTAATGTCGTATTTTATAATGTCACGAGTTCTATATATCTCTGTAAGTTAACTTCATCTGTTTAAAATCATTAACGAATTTGGCAGTTAAGGCCAGGGTTCAAATGCAAAAACAGAATGATCTTCGGTCACTGGGATTTTTCCTATGGTTGTTTTAATTTATGGTTTTTTTACGATGCGTTTCACACGTTTAAATCGGGCTGGTGAAAGGGAAATCTTAGGGCACGGCGGGTCACTCCAAAACTTCCTCCCAATAACTCCCGAATTGAGACGCAAATAGAAAACCAGAAACTACCATCAATCTTCACTAACTACACTTCTACTTGATACAGTTTCCATGGGCGTCGGGCGTCATGGACGTGTTCCTTTGATCCATGATTGAGATGACAACGAAGGTACCAGTCTAAAAAAAAAAAAAAAAATTGGCATAAAGCCACTGCCGTGACACCGACCTACTAATTAGACTTATTTCAAGTCGCAAGGGCCATCTGTTGTATATATGTCAGGCTGTTGCATGATAACGAATCTATACGTAGGCGTCAATGTAGCTGATTCATCTTTAAAACAATCTTCGTTGTTGATTGATTGGTCGAAAGTCCATCCGGGTTACACCATGAATTAAATTTTAAAAAGAAGTACAATTTTGACGCCACCAGGCTAGAAAATAAGCTGTAGGCCTAGTGTTAACGTGATTTAAAGGAAAAATCAACTTTCGCCGTTCGCATGGAGACTCGAAACAAAGCATCGATATCGCAAACACGAAGAGCTGCTAAGATGGGCCTTGTTCACGAGTCGGCCATATTGAATTGAAAGTTAGGTAAAATCTTAATTGTTGGAATTTGCGAAGAGAAATGAAAGCAAGTTAATGTATAATTAATTCCAGTCTGTTTCAATTAATAATTTTATATCATTTTGTAATTAAAAATTCCCTTATGTTTAAAGCCAGATTTAAAAAAAGACAGTAAAATATGGCTGCATTGTGCTTGCATAAATAGTCTGGCGCCGTCCCATTTAACAGTTAACAGTTAACACTTCGTGACACACGTTCAGGGAACTCGAAAAAAAAATGGCCAACTCGTGAATAAGGCCCATAAGATACAGCAGGAATTGATCCACGGGTGATTCTGTGTCACAACGCTGACATTTAAACAGTCAATAAAAACATATATAGCTATTGATGACCGGCATTGCAAAACACTTCTTTCTGTCTAAATATAGAGCCGGTGGTCACTAATCGAATTAATAACCTATCCTGTGCTTATTATTTTACCTTTTCGATTTCATGCCACTGAGGTCACTAGGTCCGGATTTGTCCCATTTGACTGTGTGTTACTATCTCAATGGTTTTACCGGGTCGGCGTGATCCTTCACCGACTTACAAAACATGAATGAAAGAATAAGATAGGACATTACTATTAACACTCACCAAATGTGGAAAAGGTCATTTCATTTTCCTTTCTGCATTTTTGATTTACTTTGAACTTTTCTTTTTTAAATGTTACACAAAATCCCTACAGTCGTTCTCGTTTATAGGTCCGAAGACTCTCGTAACTATACAAATCGGTTCGTATAGTTTTGGGCGCATTTTTTTTTTTGGGGGGGGTCACCTACATATACTCATTCAGTAATTACCACCACAGGTGCAACTCACTGAATCAATTAATTAAACAAGATGCAGTGAGTGCATGTTGGCCAGCTGACCCCTGGCACCACTGTTTAACTGCTGAAGATTCCGTTATCTTTGGATGTTTTAATTTAACATTCCAGACGAGATTATTGTCAGTCTAAATTGGGATTTTAATCTACACACTAACACAGTCTAGTCTCCCTCACGCCTCCCAGATTAACGGCCCCTCTTTTTATAGAAACAAAACACTTCAGTATTTGACTTTAAGATTACTCATAGGCCTATTCATAGGTTGATTGACATGCATTGCTAATTAGTGTGCGTTAAAAGTTGTAAGAATGTTGAAGACAATAGATTAACTAGATTATGATGACCGAAACAACCCAACTCGCAAATTTGGGTCAAAAAAGTGAAGATTTCCTTGACAAAGGAAAATAATGTTATGCCTATTTGGATAACAGCACTCTCAAAGCAACTAAAACTTAATATCTGAATCGCCATCATTATCATGAAAAACAAATACCGAAAAAACCTAGAAACTAATTGTCCATTTATACACCAAGGCTTTTGCAGTATAACCTTACACACCGAAGTCAAAAAGTAAACAGGGTTATTTTTCACGTGTAGGAAGTATTTTTTGCTGTTAAGGATTCCTTCCGTTGTTTACTGCCTACGTAGTTGTACTAGTTCAACATAAGTAAAGGAAAACCACAACAAACATACCTGTGTTGGAAACGAAGTTTAAATAACTTCCGCAGTAAGATACCAAACGGAAGTATGTGAGATATCTGTACATAGAGTTCGGTAGGCCAGGAACTGGGCATCAATGCCATGTGCCGTTGTTCGTGTACATTGCTGACATTTTTTTTGGTTACGTAATGATTGTATTATTTGACCCACTGACATTTTTGTTTGTGTTGCTAGTCAAATGACCCCGCTTCAACTCTCTGAGTTTGTGTTATAGCGTAACATTCCAGTTAATTCCTTTTAGTATTTCAGATCGCTTGACTGAATCACTGAGGTCCATGAATTTCCTCAGATTGTGAGCTCAGTCACCGAAAAAAAATATCAGCCATAAAAATAACTACATGCACTTACAAAAGTTACAGTGTAACACCATGGAGGAATAAGAACACATCCCTCCATGGTTACACAGTCTGTTCCTTTTTTTTTAACCAAAACCTGACCAATCGTATACATAATTACATGTGATACGTGTTGCAATTTTTTTGGTTTGCTGACTTAATTATATGACTGTCCAATGGCATTTAAATTTTTCTAAATATATATATATATGTATTTCATTTAATTCTTTGTTGTATAATACGTTCACGGGTATTTCAGTCTTCAATAGTTGTCTAGGCCTTTTTGAGGCCTTTTCACACTGTCCAAAATCTCCGGGTTGGAACCGGTTCCAACCCCGAGATTTTTTTCAACCCTTTTCCCACTTCTAAAGTTTCAACCCGGTTCCGACCCGGGTAGAGTGCTCTAGCCGGATCGAAATCAACCCTGGGAGGGACCAGGGTTGAAAATCTCAACCCGGATCGAAATTGCATTTTTCGGCGTGAACCGTGTCGAAAATGATAGTGTGAACCGTCCCGGGTTGAGTCACTCACGGCCGATCCGTGTTGAGTTGAGGCCGACATTTTACCGAAAATCTGACACGCCGAGCATAATATTTCCCTCCACCACTATCGCCGTCACAAACACCGATCCCGAAACAATCGCTCCCTAATTATCATCCAATAATGTATCGGTGTATGGAGCATCCTTTACCGAGTCTGGGCTTGTATTAAGTCCGCAAAATGTACCCCCAAAATGTTCATTTCTAATGTTAAATAGAACGAATCGTCTAACGAAATGACCGGAGCCATTTTGGAAATATTGCACACAGCTGCGCTGGTGTCGTACAAAAATCGGACTCCCAAATCGGATTCGTTTACTCTCTTATTATTGGTCAAACCCTTTCACGTGACAGGTCCTTCTCCCAATAGGCATGCGCAATACTACCAATGAGTCCGTATTTCACAGAGTAGTAAATTCACGCTGCACACCGGCCTGTCCGTAAGCCTCGTGCGTCGCAATGCATTATGGGATTGAGAAAATCATCGCAGCGCCCTGTGCCGAATGCGATCCGTGTCGAGAATTTGTAGTGTGAATTCACAGGGGCCGTAGCCGGATTGAACGTTACACGGTTCACGTAGCGGCCATTCCCGTAAAGGACAGTGTGAACGTCGCGTCTCTCCGATCCGTGTCGAAAAATACTCGGGCTGAACCGGGTTGGATCCGGGTAGGTTTCAACACGGTTCGAAACGGAGATAGTGTGAAAAGGCCTATACTGAAAGTCAAGCATGCAACTTGGAAGTAACAACAACAAAAAGGAGAAAACTCCCATTTTTACAAGACTTTGTATTTTTTTTATACAGTGTTTTTGTTTTTTTGTCTGTTGGTGGTTTTTATTCCTTCAATTTTTAATAGTGTGAAGTGAAAATGAGGAAATGAGCTGATCCGAAGACAACTTGCATGCCTGTGAAACACACACACAGCACACGACCATGAAAAACTCCTACACATCTGTTAAGTTGTGGTGGGGGTGACGTATTTAATCATCCTATTCCTACTTGTCGAGTATAGGCCACCTCCCTACATAAACCACATTATATAGTTACTGACTAATTTTCCGACCTTGGCAGGGTAGCTTAATTTATGCCTTCCTTGTGTAATGTGGATTTCGATAGTTTATGAGGAATATTATGCATTCTGACAATATGTATACAATTTCTTAAAAGTAGGGCATACATACACCCGGTGGTCCGGGGTCAATTAAGGTCAACATAAACGGGCAACCATGATATTGATAATTGCTTTCCAAAGCATGGTTCTTTGTTATATTCATCAAAGTCAATTCTGTTGGTTTGCAAGTGAGAAATCAAAACCACCACTCCTGTCCATTATTGCAACAAGTTGTTCATTTGAGTTGAACGTATATCATATGCCGAGATAATCAGGCCATACACATCATGTACTGTCTTACCATGGAAGTAATGGTTTTCAGATTTTTATACCAAAAAGAAAAGACTACCGTACTCACGTGTAGGAGCAAACGTTCGTCCCTTCAGGGTCCGGGTCACTGCAACAAACAGACGACACCAGCACCACCAGGAAAGTCAGGCTAACCCAAAACAAAGTTGAGGGAATCATATCTGCCATCAGCGAACAGCACCGAAATAACTGCTCCGTGCTCTCGACGATATTCCCCCGTGAGTGAGTTGGCCAAGTCCCGCTTGGCGTACACACGCGTACACGCGGACAGTATACACGAAGACGTGTTAGCCCACCGCTACCCAGGCGGCTGATTGACTTGTGCGAACGGTTCACTGCAGAGTTGATGTGTAGTGCACTAGAGATATGATAGAGGGTGAACCATCGGAACACGGGCACGCTGAATGAAACAGTCGAGAGTGATTCGCAATTGCCACATCCTTCCGGGGAAAAAAAGTTGTTTGGGCTACCGCGTACCCGTGGGCTACTTCGCTCAATCAGTAAAACCTTGCCCGTGGGGGATACTAGGCACGAAGGGGGAGGAGGGACCACAAGCAATCCCCTGAGGATCCAAGCAAGTCATTAAGCAAAAAACTGTGATTTGCTGGGATGAGAACACACAGTGTAAACGATGACTTAAGCATAACGAGCGGCTTACATGCGCGCGTGCGCAGAGGCTAAGACAGGGCTCGTCACACACTGCGCATGTGCAAAGCACCGAAGCTGATTTCTAGAACGTTTTCAAGGGAACTCTTCTGATATCTTGGCATTTGACAATCGGTCCGATATTTCATCAGTTTATTTATTTGTTCAAGCCATTCGATCCGTCTCGAATGTTATCACTGTCTCGGCGGCGCTCGTAAACATTGTATAATCGTCATCCTTCAGGAATGTATCAAGAATGATGGTGCGTGTGAAATGATACAAACACATCGGGCAAAGGATGATTTTAGCCTGTGAATCCATTAACAATGGCTTTGTATAATAAAAAAGTGCATGAATTGCTCACCTGATGCCGCCTATCGTCAGAAAAAAATATAAACTGTTATACCGGGGGTTGATATGAAGAGGGAACTGCAGAAGGCATGCCTTGCCGGGGGGGGGGGGGGGCTTGCCCCAGGAAGAATGGGAAATTTACAATGCTTTCTCCTACATTCGAAGGCAATTTGAGAATAAATTAGGAAGTTTAGTATTCCATTTTATTATTTTTGGTCCCATTTTAACAGTATCATGACTTTGGTCAGCATTAGATCCGCTACTAGGCCTACCCGATATATCCACACCATTACACTTACTAGACAGGTAAAACAGATACACATCTCACTTTCAGACAATGTAATGTTGCGATGCGTCGGTGCAAAGAGCAAGGAATGGTCGGTGGAAACGCCAGTAGTGACGTCGTTGAGGGTGCGAGGCGACGGTGGGGCTGTTCTTCCACCGGCCTACCCAAACTGGGAAACCGTTTTGTAAAATACTGTCAAAAAATGACCCATTCAGACATTGAAATGAACCCATTTTCCTACTTTTAAAAGTTAGGAAATAATATGGGGCATAAAAGGATCACAGCAGAGGAAGATTTATAATATATTAACAGTGTGAGGAAATGGGATTTGGTTTTATAAAGAGTATTGACATTGATACATTTTGATTAATTGTTCGATTTCCAACAATTGTATATTATTTGCTTAATATGACTCTCCGTGGTTTGCAACAAAAGGTCACTGACCGCCTTCATAGGTAAACCTTAAAAAAAAATACCACCGTTCATTGTTCTATCGCTTCCGCTGGAGTTATTATTGTCATCACGTTGAGGCTCTAAAAAGACACAAATAAGTTTAATATGGCTCAGGCGTCCCCTCATGAACTATTATATTCACATAAGTGATAGTTTGTAGCAGTGGAAAATAACACTTTAATCTAAAACGGGACACTCTGTGATCGCGAAACAAGTCTGGAGGATTTTTGATTAAGTCCTTGTCAAATTTTAGGGTAGCTTTTTTTCTTCAAATGGTGTAACTGCGGGACATCGCATCGTCAAAACGGGGTAAGCTCGCGGCTCGACAGTCCGAAAGTTCGACAGTCCGAAAGTTCGAATGCCCGAACGGTTTATTAATCCGAAGGTTCGATAGTCCGAACACACATTTCCTATACCCGGGGGTTCAGTAGTCCGAACATGAAATAAGGTTCGTTATTCCGAACATTTGGTGGGTCAGTTATACGAACTTTCGGACTAAACCTTCGCGACCTCGGACAAATGAAACTTCGGACTAACGGACCTTCGGACAATTAACGGTGACCGTGAAAACTGCCAATCAAATTAGCTTTTAGCAGATATTTTCTAATGCAAGTGGACCGTGCTAAGCATTTAAGGAAATAACCGTTGGGGAGTGTAAAACCCCGAGTGGAGGTGTCGGAGGGAAATTGTGAGCGAAATCGCGGTGGAGCAGTTAATTTGTAGCTGCGGTTATCTACAAGGGCCACGAGTTTTCAGGGGATGTGTCGGGGCATGAAAGAGAGAGAGACAAACAGGTGCCGGCATACTAAAAGCCTTCAATCATCATGCAGTTAAGTCAGGGGACTTTACTTGATAATCTTTGGCACTGCCACTTAATTATAAAAGCTCGTTATATCTTCTACGTCACTAAAATGGTGTGAGGACAGATTGTAGGAGATCAGGGCATTCAGGCCCAGAGAGTGGGTGTTGTGGTATGACTGTAGCATGTCTAGGTTTAACTTCTGCCAGTGTCCAAAATACTCGAGTCTGTCTCGAGTCACAGTTTCGGATACTGGGGGACTCGACTTAACTTAAGTTACATCGGAAAAAGACCCGGACTTGAACACCTTGACTCGGACTTGACGGCAGTGGCGACGTTGACTGGCGAGTCACGTATTGTTTAAACCAATAAGTACCTTTTAAAAACATAATTCCGTTGTTTATTTTCCGAAAGTAACGTTGTAGTACTGATAAAGTACGTTAAGCACACAAACGGTACAGCACCACTCACCTGGCGGAGTGCAAATAATACAGTTTGTTATTAAATGCGCCCCTAGCTTCCGAAGCCTATAAATTTCCCCGAGACAGCCCATGTATCACTTACATATCGCTGACTTCAATGGGGCTATAAAACTCTATTCGCTCTTTTCACACTTCCGCCATGGGCATGCAGAGCCTCGATCTGGCAACTTTACACAATAAATATAACCGGTTCAGTGATTCCCGTATCGGGGTTCAGATCACTGAACCGGCTATTTTTATTGTGTAAAGTTGCCAGATCGAGGCTCTGCATGCCCAAATGGCGCAGTGTGAAAAGAGCGAATAGACTCGGACTCGACTCGGGCCGTACCAACACTTTAATCACCAAGCTGACTCGTACTCGGACTCGGAATTGTCCTTGCTTTGCGATTCAAATGACTCGAGACTCGGACTCGAACTCGACCCAAGTGACTCGGCTGCAACACTAGTTTCTGCTGCGTTTTAAGCCCCATGCCCTCCTAACGTCTCAGGGGAACCCCGGTATGATCCCATCAAGAGAAAATGCTTCACTGTTTCCATTTTTATAATTGCTCAGGGGCCTACATGTTCAGTGATCTGTTATGGTCAAGCTACTCAAAATGTTGTGGTAACTCACTAAAACAAATTGTCACACAGACTCAATACCTCATTTTTTATTCCACTGCAAGTTTCAAAGTGCTCTTTTTTCTGTCGAAGGAAATCGTGGAGTTAAGTAGAGTCGAAATCAGTCCTGAAGACAGATGGCATAAGCATATCGTGCCGGATATCCAAATGTTGAGCGGATGCCATTTGTTGAAGAAAACTTGTCTTTCCAATGTCAAGGAAACATCCGATCACACTATCATCCTTTCCAGTGTCAACTGTGTCTAACTCTGGCATCCGTCAAATGTAAACATTAAATCGGCACCAGTGCATCAGACAATGAAGACATTAATTCAAGTGCTTGCCATTTAGCGACACTTAAAGGAGCAGTCTCATAACTATAATAATTCATCAACACAACTTTTTACTTCTAACTTGTGGAACATGCATAAAATTGAAAGTTGTAAACTAAAGCCTTGAGTTCAGCGATACGGTATGCCTATGTATGCACTGCTTGGAACGCATTACCGCTTTTTGACAAAAACAATTTGTAACTCAAATTTGAACTTTCGTCGTTTTAAGAGGAGCGGTTGAGCTTTAAAATGGGAGACTGACTTGGTGCATTATCATAGTTTGAAAGCAGGGTTTGAACCTCAGCTGGGACCTCCGGTGCTCTTAACCGAGCTATCAAGCCCACAACTGGCGGTTCCCCAGTTGGCGGAGCTTTAATTATTCACTAAATACTTGCCAAACAGACTCGGGAGCACTTCGCCTCCAGTGAACCCGACCTTTTAATTGTCACTTTCATTTTCATGTTGCACTATTAGACCTTTTGTTACCTCGACTGGTGCCATTTAATGTCTGTCCATTTCCTCCCATTGTGTGTCCTTCAGTAGTCACATTAAAAGGATTCATCGCTACTATCTCCAAAGAACTGATACGTCAATAATGGTTCAACTTGGGAATATAGTCTGAGGTTTGTTTTCAGAATTTGCAATCCCAACAGTGAGCCTCGAAAATACTTCTTCTTGCGCACCGTAGGAGCACATTTCCTTTGTTAATTGATGTTCGTCAAGCTTATTTACAGAGCAACTACGGGGCATTAAGATTGTATTATAAGAGGGGAGACCGTAATCCACTCCAGTCCAAATAACGCAAGCAATCAATTGTATAGTTTATGGTTAAAAACAATGCTCAGTTTTTCGGAGCTAAATATAAATCCTATTCTCTGGGTGTTTTTTTCCTTTCAGAATGGGGGAGGGTATCAATGTTCTCCGTTTTTTCTTTTATGAATGCAGCCATCCTTGACGAATATGTTGTAAATCAGATTTGCCCAGACTCTTCCCGCAATGCACCGCGGTGTTTCCCGTGATGCAATGCGATCTTTCCCAAGATGCATCGCGTGGCACATCACACCTTTTAAAAGTCGATCACGAAATTATTTTTCCTCCGTTGCAGCCCCGCTGTGTCTCAAACCATTCTTTTCAGACAAGTGATGAAATATCAAGGGACTTGAATTTTCACCTTCCTCGCGACACAGACAAAGAGTTAGTCCGAGGTGAAAGTTGTAAAAATATCAGTCGACGGCGCGACGGTCTGACCTCAAAAATTCCACGAAATAATTATTGTCCATGGACCAATGTTTGCCTAAGGGCAAGACGCACAATAATAAAGGTGAGGCGAAACACATGTCCAATTTGTCATTCGACATTTGAATTAGGAGACCAGACCTTGTCTGACGTTTAGAGAACCCTTCGCCGCTTCCGCAGGTGTTGAAAGTTGTAACCATGTGGTTCATGTTACGCCTGCTGACCGGATAGTTCGAACACCCTGACACAAGGAGCTGTGTGTCCATGGGAAGATGATGATGAGTTAGGAGTCGTTCCGACCACTCCCCAATTTCATGGAGGCGCTGGGCACAAAGAACAGCTGAGCAAATTTAAGGTCGAAGCAAAACTGGAAGCTGAGAACCAGTCACGAGTATAGTATACATTGCACAACATTTTAGCTGATAACCTGTTTTTGCTATAGGTCATA